ATCCAATGATGGGATATGTTAAGAGTAAAACAGTCTGCCTTTAGCCACAATCGTCGCGCCTCCTGTGCGTGTTGCAAGTCTAGGGTTCTCTCCTAGGGTTTGTCGAAGCGGCGTCTTCGTTGGGTTTTCTCTATGGCAGGTCGATTCGTGATGTGGGGAAAGGGGCTTCTGCGATTCCGTTCGAGATGTTTTTAAGGGGGAAACTTGGAAGGTGTTCGGTGAAGGCGGAATATGGGATTCGGGCTGTTCTTTTAATCTGATGAAACTGGGTAGCGGAAATCAGCTCCTTATGGAAGCTCCTCATCGTTGGCTTCCCAGTAAGGACGGTTCTCTGATGGCTTTTTCTCCAAGGTGTGGTGGCTGGCCTACAGCCACACTGGCTCCATGAGGGTGTTTTATTGGTGTTACCAGGGATTTGGGGATTCTCTGGTAGTGCTTTTAGAGTCTTGGTCACCCTTTTTTGTGTTTTATGTCTTTCCTTGTGTTCTGTTTTTATTTTTCCTGTTAGTGTCCTGTTGGTTTTGGTCCTGCTTTTCTTTGTGGATTATTTTTGGTTGGGATAGATGTTGGCTTAATTCTACCATGAGTGCTGGTTCAATGGAGTTTGCTCTCAAACTTCTTTTTCTTGACCCTTCTTTTTTAGAAGGTGTCTTTGTAGCTGCGTTTAGCTTGGCAGCATTGGCATCAAAGGGGGTGGGCTCGATGGAGCAAGTCTTTGGACAACCACCCTCTATTGCTTTCTCAGCGAATCATGGTGGAAGGAAAGTTTGGTCTTCCCATTCTCAATCCATAAGGTTAGGCTTCGGTTGGTGTGGTCCTGGCTGTTTTTTGGTTCCTGATGTTCCTTGTAGTCTGTTGGCTTGTGCGTTGTTTGATTTTGATTATCGTGTCTGTATTTAGTTTCTTTTAATGGAATTATCCCTTCGGTCAAAAAAAAAACAGTCTGCCTTTCACGTAACAGAATCCTCAGTGATTAAAAGCCTGTAATTTGCCTTTAAGTCACTCTGTATATTTAATTTCTTGTGATTTTAATGCTTCAACAAGACGATACACTTTACAGCTGGGGTTTTATGCACATAACAAGTTAAGTTAAATTATTAGAATGTACATACAAGTAGAAACTAGAAGCCTAATATTCCCATCTTATCCATATTATAATAAATTTAATTATATAATAAACCTTTTGAAGATGTATGAAAACGTTAAAAGCAAGCTATAATATGGAAATGACATGCGAGGAAGTACATTACAACGGTGGGCAATGCTATGTGTTTAATTATATGTCAAGTTTTATATTGTTAGAATAATATCCGTGGGACAAAAATAATTACAAATGAAATTCAAACAAGAACCTAGCTTTAAGAGGTGTTTAGAAAATCCAAGAATCAATTAAAACATTATTTTACTAAATAAAATTTTTCTCACATAATTATCTTATACTGTATAAAATTACGTCAAAAAATTAATCCAAACATACTTTTAAGTTGTTCTCTAATTTTAAGGAAGCAATTAAAAACATTCAAATATTATAGACTATATTATTATTATGGGCCACGACCTTAGTAATGGCCTAAAATCGCCTTGGGTTGGATATTACAAGAAAACAAAATAAACAAAGAAAGAAAAATCTAAACAAGCAAATTTTTTTTTCAAATGATACATGGATATTTTTAGAGCGTAGTTTTACCCAAATGGGGATGCAGAGATAAGTGGGGCATCAAGTGTAATTTTCGCCAAAAGCCAAAGGGCGGTACATAAAGCAACACGGCAGTGCTGCCAGCAGGGGACGACTTGACTGGTTGACTTGTTGACTTCAATGGCACGCGTGATGCAGGAAATAAGAAGGAGGATATGAAGTTTCCAAAAGTAAAATCCATTTTCATCAAAAAGCTTAATTCTTTTTATGCTTAAATATTTTTCATTTTTCTATTCATGAAATGCCCATTGGGTTGGATTATACTGCTATTTAATGTAAGAGTTAATTTGATTTTTAATTTAATTTAAAATATAATATCTTAATTTATTTTATTTCTCATATATATTTATTTTTTTTAAAATAATTATTGTAGTCGTTGTATATATTAAATACTTCATTAAATAATTATTCGAGTTAAATACTTGATTGTTTCAGTTCAGTAACCTGGCCCCACTTGCTAAATATTTTTGTTTGCTCTTTTTATCAAATTAAAAAAGATAAGTGGGACATCAAGTGTAATTTTTGCCAAAAGCAAAAGGGCGGAACATAAAGCAACGCGGCATTGCACGGCAAAGGACGACTTGGCCAGTTGACTTGTTGACTTTAATGGCAGGCATGATGCAGGAAATAGGATGGAGGGCGTGGGGCTTCAAAAAGTAAAATCCATTTTCGTCTAAAACTTTTCCATGCTTTTGTATTAGCGTCGCTTGCTTTTTTATATCCTCAATTCTTTTATGCTTAAACATTCTTCATTTTTCTATAACTGGGTTGGATTATACTCCTGTTGGTTTAATTTTTGATTTAATTTTAAATATAATATCTTAATTTATTTTATTTTTTATATTATTTTTTTAAAAGTTAGTTTTTATAACAGTTACATATGTTAAAAATTTCACCAATAATAATTCTAACTAATATATATGATTAGTAAGAATATTTTAGCGAAAATAATACCTATTTATTATAAATAAATAATTTAACTAATTTTTAAGGAGTTAATATAATTTTTGGTTCTTCAAATTTGCTCTCATTTTGATTTTGGCCACTTGACTTTCAAACTATAAGGGTATGTTTGGCATGAGAAAATGTACGGAAAGGGAGGAGAGAGAAAATTTTAATAAGCTTATTTTAAAAAATTAAACAAGTGGGGTTATAAAATTTTGATAAGAAGAAAATATAAGATAAAAAATAATCAAAATAAATCAAAAAATTTTAACCCCACTTCTTCAATTTTTTAAAATAAGTTTATGAAAATTTTTCCTCCTTTCCCTTTCCCTCCATTTTTCTCATACCAAATAGACTCTAGGTTCTAGTCTCTCAAGAATACAATGATCCAGATTTTTTATTTAGCTATAGAGATTAATGTTTTAAATAAAAAGAAATTTGAAAGACTGAAACCTACAACTTAAAATTTAAGTGACCAGAATCAAATGAGGACCAATTTAAGAGATGAATAATTATATTAACTCTTTTTTTAATTTATTTAAACTATTCAACTATTTTTTATATTAAATACGTGTATCATATAATTATTCTATTATTGAGCCAAAAATTCTTCTACTATAATACGCAGTCCTTGAGACTGTAACTTTTTCCAATAGCAAAAGGGGGTGCAATACCAATACACACTGAATCAGCCCAGTAATTACCATAACTGTCAGACGCGGGACGACTTGACTCGTTGATCCCAAAAGCAGGAATGATAGAGGAGGTAAGAGGTGAGGAGTACCAAAAAGTGATGCCTTAAAATAGCCAATTTATTTCTTTAATAAAAAAGCATACATTAATTACTTTGCATATACAAAAATTTTAATGCCACTAATACTAAGTCATAAAGTAAGTCATGTATGAAAAAAGATATGAAAGATGGAAAATTTTCCTAATCTTTATGGGTTAAGACCCGTATCCTTATTTTCTTTAAAGAAAAGGATTCATGTCATTTTCATTTTTATTTCCTCAATTCTTTTTAGTTTAGATGAAATTTAACATTAAAGAAAATAATTTTTACGAAGTGTGGGCCTCTTGTGGACAAGCTTTTTCTAAAGCTGCCCAAGACGCACCATAATTCTGAGTCCAAAAAAAAAAGACGCACAATAATTCAATAAAACTAGCCTTGCGAGCTTCCAGGAAACTAGAGCCTCTGAAACAGAGATAAATGCCCGTCAGTGAGGCAAATGGTGATCTCTGAATCTGAATTGAAGAGCTTGTTGCAAGAGAGAGAGCAAGCCTGCGAAGTTCTGAAGCTGCCATTTTTGAGACCTTGGTTTGTGAGAGCTATTTCTTTCGCTTCCCCCCACATCCATCCAGGTTCATTTCTTCTCTTTCATTTGCTTTGTCCCATAGATCCATTGCTCCTCCGACTGTTTTTCCTGCATTTTTCTCCGGAATTTTCGCAGAAAAATTCTGCAAAAGATTTTCTCTTTTCTTCTCCTAGAACTAGCTGTTGATTAATTCTCCTTCATGGCTACCTTACGGTTGTAGATCTAATAAAAAACTTCAACATTTAGAATTCTTTATACTTTAATTTCTGAAAAACAGAGCCCAAAACCTTCTAAGATATGGGTGGACTTGATCTATAGGTTAAAGTCTTCATCTATTTATTCAAATTTTTTTTAATGAAGTGAATGGCCCATTTATTTATTTTATAAAAAGCAAAGTGCTTGTTCTTCCTTTCACCTTAATCGCTCCCCGTTTGTTGTTACGCGTGAAAAGACACTGATATATTCTGTTTTCATGATCCCCTTGCTTGGTACAATTTTGTTTTTCACAGAAAACAAACATATATCAATTTATGCAGTCCAACCGCCAAAAAAAAAACAGAGAGAACAATTTAGTGTTTAAACTAGTAAAATTTCTTGCAACGAGCTTTTTGGAGTTGAAATTAATTTGATGATTTTAAGTAATTTTTTGTTTAATTTTTAGGTGGGATTTTAATATAATTTTCCCCAAAAAAAAAGAACACACGGCCGATTCACCTTCAACACGAGTATTTTTTTACTCGCTGTATATAGCTTCTTTAGAATAAATTCAGTTGGTGATAAGAAACATCAGACAAATCAATTAGTAAAATTTTTGGGTGCACTTGACTGGTAAGTTGACCACATGATGAATTCTTTCTTGCGCATTATTCCATCCACAAGACATGTTCTTCATTTTAGCATCAATCGTTCCGTAACTTGTTCCACTTCCTAAATATTTTGTTTGATGTTTTTATCACGTAATCAAGAGTCAAAGTATGGCACCTCCTGAGAAGATAAAGCCGAAAATATTACTTTATCACGTTAGTTTCGGGTTGGTGAAAAGTTTCAGGTCATAGCAAGAGATTATAGTCACATGGAGGCAACCTTTACTCTAACGCTCATAGAAGCTGTATTGATTTTGCTGGCTATAGCAATTTCTAAAGCTATCACATTAATCTCTCCACTTGATTCTAGGTAACATGTTCTTTAAATGTTCACTTTATGCTTTGCTCATAGTCCAATATTTATTATTCATGATTTTTTTCCATATCTAGTCGTAAAGATGCTGTTGATTCGATTCCCTCGGTTTCTTCTCCTTCTCAAATCATTGATGCTCCTCCTCCTGCAATCAAGTATGAAGTGTTTCTTAGCTTTAGAGGGGAAGACACTCGTCACACTTTCTCAAGTTATCTCTATGAGGCACTTCGCCAAGCGGGTATTCATACTTTTATGGATTACAAGCTCGACAAAGGAGATCATATCTCATCGAGCCTTCTTAAAACAATAGAGGAATCAGAGATATCTTTGATCATTTTCTCTGAAGATTATGCATCTTCAACATGGTGTATGGATGAACTCGTTCATATTATGAAATGTAAGGATAAGTACGGAAGGCTTGTCATCCCAATTTTCTACAACGTAGATCCATCAAATATTCGGAAACAGAATGGGAGATTTGGAGAGATTTGCTGAGCTCAAGCAGAGATCTAAGCACAACCAAAATAAAGTGCAAGAGTGGAAAAATGCTTTGACCGATTCAGTAAGCCTAGTTGGGTGGGATTCAAAGAATTTCTGGTAGCTTTCGTTCTGCTCATGATGCTCTTATTTTCTTTCTTAAATTTGGGCATTAAACATAACCATTATTTTAATTTATTTGTATGCTAGGCCTGAACTCGAACTTGTCAAAAAGATTGTCGAAGATGTTTTGAGCAAATTGAAGCACAAGCCACCCATTCACATGGAAGGCTTAGTTGGGATCAATAATCAGATTCAGAAAGTTGAAGAGTTACTAAGTAAAGCTCGCATTGTGGGAATATGGGGTATGGGTGGTATAGGCAAGACCACTCTTGCTAGAGCTGTATTTGACAAATTGAAAGCACAGTTTGAAGCTTGCTGCCTTGTTAAAGATGTCAGACAACAACTGGCAAAAGGAAATGGATCGGATAAATTGCTCAAAAAATGCCTTAAAGAAGTTAAAAGATGATGATATTAATGCTTACGATTTAAGATCCGCTTCTGTCAAAACGAGGCTTCAGTGTAAAAAAGTTCTTCTGGTACTTGATGATGTGGACAATTTATAGCAATTGAAGATTTAATCAAAGCATGCAATTGGTTTGGAGAAGGAAGTAGAGTTATTATAACATCAAGAGACAAGCAAGTGCTTAAAAATACTTCTGCTTCTGCATCTCCAGCAACATATCCTGTTCTGAAATTGGAACCGCATCATGCCCTTCATCTATTTAGCTTGAACGCTTTCAAGCAGCATGAGCCCTTGAAAAGCTATTCGAAGTTATCGAAGGGGGTAGTGGATTATTGTCAAGGAAATCCATTAGCTCTAAAAGTAGTGGGTTGCTTTCTTCATGGCAGAGGAAAAGAAGAGTGGGAAAGTGCTATGGCGAAACTAAATCAAACTCCTCACAATGACATTTTTAATGTGCTAAAATTGAGTTTTGATGGACTTGATGACACACAAAAGAAAGCATTTCTTGATCTCGCATTTTTGTTGAACATACGACGGGGGATTTCTCGGCACCATATAAGATGCTTATATGGTCCTAGTGCAGATATTGAGATAAGTGTCCTTGAAGAGAGATCCCTTATTTCAGTGGATGAACATAAGGATTGGGATGCATGCTCTACTAATCGACATGGGCTTGAAATTTCTAAATCTAATCCTGACAATCCACATTCGGCTGTGGAGGCATGAGGATATTATCGTTATTTTTCCAACAATGACAAGGTAATAATTTATTTTTTAAGATTTTATGTATATTTTTGTTCTCTTAATGGTTCATTTTGTTGTTTATTTTCTAAAAGTTATTTGTTTATTCATTAAATTCTTCATTAGTCCAATGTTTGCGGAATCAGATTTTTTTTCCCCAATAAAAGAAGTCCTTTGTTTGACTAAAATTGGCGCGGTCAGAGTCTTTCTATTAGGTGTGATTCATTATATTAATCTTCTTAAACTTTTGAAATATTCGTTTCCTAAAGTTGAGATAGAATATGACTAGCATGATATAAGGCTTTTTTTTCAAAAAAAAAAAAATAGATCATGAGATCTTCAATAAATTATAAAATTATCCACAAAGGTTGACCTTTTTTCATATTAATTGATATCTGATGTAGTATAAAGTGATTGTGTGTATTCTCACACACTGCACATGCATATTCTCACCTTCACACGCGTTTTCTTATAAAAATTTAATATTGCAAAAAAGTACTTATCATGAAATCTGAACAGAAAAATAAATTTTTAGAAATTTTATAGATGCTGGGGTTTTATATATGCACTAGTTTTTCTTTAATACGACGGGTTAATATAACTTTGATCCCTTAAATTTACATGACTTTTTTTTTAATCTCTTTAGTTTCATACCATGTTGAACAAAATGGTCTAGGTTTTTATTAAATCATAAGAATCAATGTCTTTTTGGTAAAGAATAACCAATATTTTACATGAAAAGAAATTTGAGAAATCAAAATCTATAGTTTAAAACTTGAGGGATAAAAAATTAGATTAACCTTTTATATGAAATATAGGCGTGCGCATGTAAGCCTGTTCGTATCATTGTCCCTGCCTTCCTGCGTGTGTATCTGTTATTGTCCGATTTATTTATTGCAAGATAAAATGAATTGTTTGAATAAAGTGCGCAAAAGCATATTCATTTAGAAATTCCTAAAAAAATATATTTAATCGTTCTATTTATTATTTGATGACCTTTTACATATTACTGATTTTTTCCCACAATTTGATCAGTAGGCGGTTGGGGCAATTCAATGCTCATCATTAGACATGAAGACGATAAACAGGATTGCAATAACAATTAGTAATGTTCAAAAGAATTATAATTTAAAATTAGCTAGGACTTTCGTGATGTGTTATTTTAAAAGATAAATTAGTGTACAAAGAATTTTCATTGAGTGATATATGCATACGCATGTGTGAGCATAACTTATTGTTAGTTGAAGTACAACGGGAAAATAAAAAACAAATAATTTTTTGTTGTTTTAGTTATATTCTAAATATCTGCACATGCTATATGCATTACTGTGTCTGTGTATTTATTATTGTTGAGAAATTCATATATTACGGAAAAAACATGAATTGTAAGGAATTTTGAATGAAATGGATATGGCGGTGTTAATTTGGATAAAAGTTGATATATTTAATTATTCTATGGTATTTATGGTCATTTTTTCAGGTAACGATAATTGTGTTTCCCTTGATTTGATAATATTACCAGGGGATTGAGGCAATTCGATGCATGTCATTGGATGCAAGCAAGATAAAAAGCATCACATTGAGGGCTAGTCATTTTCAAAGGATGAATGATTTAATATTCCTTGATGTTTACAAGTCTGATCGAGGAAAGCCTTCAAAGTTGAATATTTGTGAAGAGTTGGTTTATCTTTCAGAAGAATTAAGGTTTCTTAGTTGGGAAGAATATCCATTGCCATCTGTGCCATTACAATTTTGTGCTGAGAATCTCATTAAACTTGATTTGCGTCGGAGTAATATCCAACAGCTTTGTGATGGCAATCAGGTACATACGCATTGTTTTTTCAAATGTATGTCATAATGTTTTTGTTGGTGTATGTGATTGTAAGACGTGGCATCAAACATTTACCAAAATAATTGACAATGCAAACATTTAATTGTTTTTGTGCTGAGGATCTTATTGAACTTAATTTGCCAAAGAGTAATATCCATCAGTTTTGGGATGGAGATCAGGCACATATAGTTTCTCATATGTCATAATTGTTTGTTCTTTTGATTATAAGAAACATTGACTAAAATAATTCATAATGCAAATGTTTACTCTATTACTATCTTTCAATTGATGGTTGAGTAGTAATTGTACAATTTGGGAGGAGTCCAGCTGTTGTTGTAATGGGCATAAGAAAAATTCTTGATTAAATTGTACGTATGTGGAGTTATCTAATTTTTTATAACACTACTGCTTTGTTTTTTCCAGCAATTTCCAAATCTAAAGGAAATAGATCTAAATGATTCAAAAAATCTCATGGCACTTCCAGATTTGTCTCAAGTCCCGGAGATTGGGCAGATAGTTCTTAATGGTTGTGTGAATTTACATCAAATCCATTCTTCAACTGTCCCGGAAAATTTTTTCCATTTATTCGTAGAAGATTGTGGGCCAATGAAGATAAATGTTGGGGGCAGTATGAAAGGGAGAAGTTCATCAGGGTTAGTGATTGTGTACAATTATTTGGATGTCCCCAATTTGACATTCAATAAAGTGATAATGAAGGTGTTGGTATGTGGCAAGATGATGTGTGGTGTTGGATTTAAGCATGTGAGAATGCCATTGGGAGAGACGGTGGAATTCATGAGAATGGGAATACAAAGTTTGGCGACTTTACTTCCATTTGTGAGGACAGTTGATTGGTTAGAGAGTCCAATTGAGTTTGGACATGATTTCAAGCAACATCATACCTATCATGTTCGTTATGCATACACTGGTTATGACCCCATGCTTTCTGTAAAGGTGAGGGGTAATGAAGAAGAGGATGAGGATGATATAGAAATGATTAGTGAGGATGATACAGAAATGATTAGTGAGGATGATACAGAAATGATTAGTGAGAATGAAAGAGAAATAAGTAGTAAAGGTGATCAAGTAGTAGAGACAACATTATTATTAATGGAAGATGAACAAGAAGGGGCCGATGAGGATGATAGTAAGAGGGACGATGCATTATTAACGACACTACTTATACCTAACATCATCCCTCGCTGGTCATTGTTGGTTCGACTGACATTAAAAGAGAGTGATATTATTATTGGGAATAATAATACAGGTTGTAGCATCATCCCTCAAGCTTCAATAATCCTCAAATCACTCAATGAAGATTGCAGAAGGAGGATTCAGCCTCTCTTGGCATTACAACTCTCTTCCCCAATATCCCCTTCACCTCCTCATTATTTTGGAGTCCTTTATAACTACTCGAAGAGTAGGCCACTCTATCCTTCTTCTCTTTATTTCAGGAGTAAATACGGGTCAAGTAATTTTTTTAATACTTATGACTTAGTTGTTGACTTTTTCAACAACCATTGGTTATATTAATTATCATTTAAATTTTTCAGGTCATAAAATTATTATTTGAATCAGCCTCAGTTATTTTCTTATTACATATTAATATTATGTTTTTATGAAATATCAATTTTTCTGTTTTTTTTAAAATATGTCATTCATGTACGGAGAGCCTCCTCACAACTTTATAACATAAAAATTGTTAATCTTATTTTGGCTTCACAATAATTGCACCTGTCGTGTGTGTTACTCTCCATGCGATGTGAGTAAAATAATTAGCGTGACAAACAATTTCCTTACCAAGCAATTTTATTATAAGAAAGTAGAATGATTACTTTTGAATTAACTCAACTTGTAAATGTTAAAATGTTATAATATTTAAAATTGTAAATTACATTAAAATAAAATCTATTTGTTTGA